CTCGTTTGGAGTGCCAACTGCACTCTTAGGGGGCCGCTCGGTTCGGGATGTCTGTGTTGCCTGTAGGTGATGACGGATGCTCGTCGGAGTGTCTCCCTGGCTCAGTGGGTGGTGGGAACCAACAGTCTGTGGGGTTCACCCATGATGTGAGTAGGTGATGTGCTGCTTTGCTCCGTGTTGGATGTGTGGACGACCCCGTCTGCGCTCCACCACTGCCTTGCTGCCCGTTCCGCTTGCCTCGCAGGTCGTTCTTGGCATGCTGCTGTCTTCGCTGTGTGGTGTGGCCGGGTTGTGGTGTTGCCTTGCGCTTCTCTGCTTCGCTGCCTTGCCGCCCATCCGCTGGTTGTGCCTTCCGGGTCCTTTGCTTGCGCGCCCTGTAGTTTGGTTGTTGCATTGGGGTTGCCTTGTGCTCCTCAGCATGGTCGCTCTGCTACTTGTCCGCTTGCCCTCTCGTCCCTTGCAGTGTGGTTGTCTTGGTGGTGTTGCCTGGTGCTTCACTGCTTGGGTGCCGTGCTGCGAGTTCAGCGTGCCGTGTCGTTCCTTGCAGTCGTTTTTGGCGCTGTGCAGCCGTGTTGCCTCTACTGCGCTGCCTGGTGCTCCGCAGGGTTGCTGCCTGCTGCTATGTTACGCTTGGGGACAGTCTGCCTTCAACAAGGGTCAAAGTGTTCATGACCCAAACCATCATATACGGAGATTCCGCAGATTGTCGAGGGTTCAGCCTCCTGATGAGTCGGTGCAACTCCGACGAAACAATCTTGTCATCGTCAGTTTATTTTTTTCGGCCTTCCAATTTACTTGGGACTTGTATTTTTTTCGGTTTACCTGCTTTCGTGTGCTTGTGTGTCTGTTTCGTGTTCTTGCATGTTGTCTGCCCTCCCGCCTCCCCCGTGCCCTCCAGCCTATGCCTTGATGTCTTTTTGCTTGCTTTGCTCTGATGTTTTTCTTGTCTGCCTGGTCTTGGCATCCTTTTGGGACTTTGCCTTTGGTGTGCTTTCACGTTGTCTGCCCTCCCGCTTCCCCCGTGCCCTCCAGCTGCTGTATCTTTAGTATCGATGTTGTGGGGACTGTGTCTTTTGCTTGTGAGTGCACTTGACTGTGAAGCGTTGGAACGCATCTTAGGGAGGTAATGTTGAGTCTAGTCCCTGGGGGAAACCATTCTTGGTGTGAAGCTGATAACTGGGGTTACAATATACTTAAACATCACACACACACACAGACACACACACACAGACACACACACACACACACACACACACACACACACACACACACACACACACACACACAGAGCGAGAGCGAGAGAGAGAGAGAGAGAGAGAGAGAGNAGAGAGAGAGAGAGAGAGAGAGAGAGAGAGAGAGAGAGAGAGAGAGAGAGAGAGAGAGAGAGAGTCTTTACTTTGCAGCCCACTCGCTCTGTCTGCGGATTCACGCCAACCAAGAGAGCAACAACTCATGGTAGTTGAATGTACAGGAGAGCAGGCATCAGTTTCTCATCCCACTTGCAGTGTTGTGAGACCCCCCTCCTCTGCATTGTAGTCCTCACCATGCAGCTTAAGTTGCTCCTTAACACCATTCCCACAGCGATCATCATCTGAGTTATCTCAGTAGTATTTGCATCTTGCCAGCTTGTCGTTGGCAGGTAATCGAGGGCTAGGGGGAAAGAAGGATCGGGTGTGGCGGGGGGGCTTGGCTAAGCAAGGTGAGCTTGGGAGTGTGTTATCTTCGGTGCAGGGGATTGCACGAGAAAGCAAATGGACTCCAAGACTTAGAGGTTTTGGGTTCTGGGAGAAGCCTTGCAGGTGGTGTCGTAGATGCAATGTGGGAGGCAGCGGGCCAGTAGTGGCTTGGCCTGTGCAGTAGGGTCTGTACATGGCTCGGGCTAGCTCGGTCCAGCCATCATGACAATGGTTGGGTGACGTTGATGTTCTGATCCTCGCCATGATGGCTGGCCGTGGTCATCGTAGGTGATAGCAACTCCACCAGACATGGTGGTTAAAATTTCAGGGGGTAGACAGACACCTATGATACTGCACCAGGCCAGGTGGCTGATCAACGACACGGGCGCCGATTGTGCCACCAGACGGTGACCAGATTGGTGGGGAGAGACACAGAAGTGTTGTAGCCAAGGTCTGGATCTCATATGGGCGACAGTGACCCCCCATGGGCAACACTGGCGCCGATCGTAACCACCAGAAGATGACCAGATTGGTGGTGGGGAGAGACAGAAGTGTTGTAGCCAAGGTCTGGATCTCATATGGGCGACAGTGACCCCCCCATGGGCGACACTGGCGCCGATCGTAGCCACCAGAAGGTGACCAGATTGGTGGGGGGGAGAGAGACAGAAGTGTCGCAGCCAAAGGTCTACCTTCTGCCAGCGAAGTGAACACCAATGGGTAAGTATGAAAATGTAAGAGTGAGGGTTGAGGGTTGAGGGAAAGGCTTTTGTGAGATGTGGTTTGAGTTGACTATGCAAGGACTGAAGTGATTGCACATGCAAGACCGGACATCGGGAAGCTAGGTCCAAGAAGGCAAAAAGTGTAGTGACAGATAAGGCATGATTGCAGAATCGTAAAATATGGACCTCCTTTGAGGGTAGCCTTTCTGTGGACAGATAGTGACAGAGATAGGTGGGCTGGGGGCTAAGGATAAGAGAAGTGGTGGTGCGGGGCGTAGAAGGAGAGCATGAGGGAAGGAGGTGGGAGATTGTGGACATCATGAGGGACAGATCGTGTATTATTTCGCACAACTTGGCTGAGAGGTTAGTACTACTAGTAGTCTATCCCCATGTGGTTGTGTTCACGTTTGCTTTCTCTGGGGTACCCCTTCATTTGTTCTTGCAGCTGTGTGTGTGTGTGTGTGTGTGTGTGTGTGTGTGTGTGTGTGTGTGTGTGTGTGAAGACCAATCTTTTGCTGATACCCTACAGTCTGTTTTACCCCTCGGTGATGAAAAAAAAGAATGACAAGAATGATTGTGATGATGATAACAGTGATGTGGTGGTGCGCACGCGACTGTGCAGGCATCTACAGCAGCTTGTGCGAGTGAAGCACCCAGTGGAGGGCAATCTCCTCTTCCCACGACTATGCACTGATTACCAGGAACTGGGCAATAACAGTGGCTACGAGTGTGCAGCATGGCTCACACAGTGCCTTGTACGTTGACATGACAAGGCCCACCAACCCCTTACCAGAACCTCTCTCTCTCTCTCTCTCTCTCTCTCTCTCTCTCTCTCTCTCTCTCTCTCTCTCTCTCTCTCTCTCTCTCTCCCTTCCCAGGTGCACACAAAGCCCACCTTACCAGAACAGTGTCACGTGACTTCACACTCTCTCTAGCCCAGTCCTTTTCCCTCCCCTCCCCTCCTCGGAGCACTTCCCCCCACTCCCCCTCGCCAACCCTGACACCTCCCTCCCTCCAACCAACCCAACGAAGAAAGTTTGCAGATTGTTGTTGCCTGTTCCCACTCTCCGAATTGCCCAACCTGCTTTTGCTCCCTTCTAATCCGCCATCAAACTCCAGAGAAAACACCAACTGGCCTACCGTCTTCGCCCGAATAGAACGCCCAGTAATTATCGTCGTATCTGGGCTGAAAGTTGTGTCAAATACAGATATAATGACCGGGCGTTCTATTCGGGTGAAGATGGTAGCTCAGTACACCCATTAAAATCAGATGAGTAGTAATTCTGAATTTACCTGGGGCCAGTGAGTTCAAACTCCAAAGTTCAAAGTTGATATCTTAAGCCACCAGTACACCCGGGGCGGCCCTGGCGGTGCTGCACTTTCTGAACCGCCAGCAGTGCCCTTTTTTTTCCTTTGGCTGGCACCACCAGCCATTGTGGTGGTCCATTAGTATCCCCAAGTCTCCAAACTTTTCATAGGCGACGGAACATTTTTCTGCAAGGGTGGGACCGCGTACTGGCGGTTTAAGCTGTCCGTGTTTTTTTTCTTTTCCCAGTGAAAACACTTGGCCTAGTTGGCCCGCATTACCTTACATCTGTATCTGCTATCTAACCTGAAAAAGGGTGAAATGAGCCAGATGATCTGGCTTTTGGCTCCTGGTGATGAAGAGCCAGATGAGCAGTAGAGGCAAGTTCAATTCTGCCTCACGCGATTCTCGCTCGAAAACAATCGGAGGGTGTCGCGTTCATAATATATGTATGTGGCCTGAAAATGATCCTGAGTACAGATACAACAACCCTGGATGGTACTCAGATCAAAAGATGGTACTGTGGAACTGGGCTACACAGAGTCACATGCCCAGTTCCATTGGGCCTTTGGGCCTCGGGGTACACTTCAACAAGGAGCAGGAGGGGGGGGGGGGGGGGGGAGGAGGAGGAGGAGGAGGAGGAGGAGGAGGAGAGGAGGAAAAGATGATGAAGAAGAAATGTGAGAATGCCCCACATTCAGTAGTTCACCCCTTCTTGTACCCTTGGGCCTCCTGAAGACCTTATGGGGTCTGAAGGCACACACTTTTATGGCCCCGCACTTTTTTTTGTCTTTTTTAATCCACCACTACCTCCAAGCCTGTTTTTGCCGACCCTTAATTTCACTTCGCCCCGAGTTTTGCCGAGCCCGGGTCCCATTGTTATTTCTTTTTTTCTTTTCTTTTCTTTTTTTTTTTCTTTTCTTTTTTTGTTCTTTTTTGAGTTATTTCTTTTATGGTACTCACGGCAGTTACATCCGAAAAACTTTGAGAGAAAGGACCACCAGTTCGGGCTGCAACAGGCACAACAGGCGATAGAAGAAGTAATTAGAGCCCGGACCCACGAAGCCTGGAAGGAAATGCAACGACACTACCTCAACGAGAAAGAACCCACGGTCAGACAAGCCCACCGCGACTCTTATCTCCAAATCTGGCAGGACCCCAATCGTACCTTTTCTGAGTTGGATGATGGGATTTACATACACTGGAAACCCTGGAGAGCAACAGAGTCCGTCTGGCAAAGAAGACCGCTGGGAGACTTCTGTGTCCCATACCTCCCAACCAACTTCGTCTTACTCCCGGCCCCTCCGAACTAACTTCAGCTTGAGCTATGCTACGATGTGCCCCCCCGCTCCTTCCCCTTCTCCCCCTCCCTTCCCCTTCCCCCCTCATCCACTTATGATTGACTCGGAAGACAACAGAAGTACTGTGGATCATCAGCTACAAAGGGACAAGAGTGAGGTCGGGCAGACACGACACCGGCTGAGCGAAGAGCTGTACAATCGTGGGTGGCCAAGAGGAGACAGCATGCGTTCATGTCTGCAGAGACTGAGATGCACCTACTGTCGCTCTGGGGGGCTACCTGAGGATCTGGTGCCCACAGCAGTCAAAGTGTTAAATGTCTGAGTTTAGAAGTTAGATCAACGGTCTGGCTGTGTCATTTTGTGAGCTACTGCTCGAAAGCTGTAGAATGGGTCTCCGTTACTCACGGCGTAGCATATCAAACAACTGTATCCAATGTCCTGATTGTCTGTGCAAACGTTCATTTGCAACATTGGGGACGCTGGACCGTTTTCCAGCAGGTGCCGCTCCCCACTAATAGATGGAGGCCCTGACGAATGCTAGGGGTGT